ACACTTGTCTGCTGCTGAGAGGGTTTTGCGTTATCTTGCAAGTACATCGGGCATGGGGTTAGTGCTAGGAGGACACAGGCCAGTGGTCCTCACTGGGCACACAGACGCTTCTTGGGCAGACGACTCAGAGACTCTCAGGTCGTCTCAGGGCTACTTTTTTAGTCTCGGTTCGGGTGCTACAGTGGCGGATTAAATTGTCCACATGTTTTGCCTTTTTTGGCATTTTTATGAGTGCAGAGGCGTATACATTAAGCCTTAATGTACGGTGTGCATTAACGCTGAGAAGTTCAGTTAGAGCAGTCACTCCAGTGTTCAAACACCAAAGTAGTACCACACATGGTCCTTAAACTCCTAAGCATAGCATGGGAGAACATGTGGACAATTTGTACCGGAAAATGGTATCACACTAGATTCTAGGAAAACTAGTACCTAGTCCAGCGTCCCTTTGCCCGAATCACTGCCTTGATCCTCCTCGGCAGGCTGTCGATCAGGTTTGCACACACCTCCGGCGGTATCTTGTCCCATTCCTCCTGCACCCTCTCCCACAGCTCCAGCATTCCCCTTGGCGGCTTTTCGTACTTCCCCAGCTGCCTTTTCAAGTATGCCCACAGGTGCTCAATTGGGTTAAGGTCCGGGGAGCACGACGGCCATTCCAGCACCGCGTACTCCTGCTCCCCAAGCCAGTCTTGGACCAGACGACACCTGTGCTTGGGATCATTGTCGTGCTGGAAAATGACCTCTGAGGGGGAAAGCTTGAAAAAATCGATGGTCTGTTTGAGCTCATCTTGCAAGATGCTGCGATACAGCGGCCCATCCATCCTGCCATCTATCTTGCACATGAACCCCGCCCCCTCATACGTCATGCAACCCCACACCATCACAGAACCGCCCCCATGCTTAACTGTCTGTTGGACTTGGTGGCTCCGAAGGCTGGTGCCCTCGCGAATCCAGGCGTACGCACGTCCGTCGGAGCAGTAGCGGTTAATCTTCGTCTCGTCAGACCAAATCACCCGCTTCCAGTCCTCCAGCGTCCAGTCGGCATGCGCCCGCGCGAAGTCGAGACGATCGCGGATGTTTTTCGGTGAGAGCCTGGGTTTCTTGGGCTGATGCACGGCGATCAGCCCCGCGGATCGTAAAGAGTTGCGGACCGTCTTCGAGTCTACGGCGAGATCGTGCTTCTCCAACAACATCTTGGCCGCGTCTGAAGAGCTTTTCGCCTCGCCGCTAGTAATCGCACGTATAACTCCGCGCTGGAGACGGGTTGTGATTAAGCGGGGGCGGCCGGCCGAAGGCATCGTAGGTCGCACCTCCTCGCGACTAGTCTCCTCAGCGAGTTTCATACCGTAATCGTGCACGGTGCTCTTGCCTATGCCAAGAAGTTTCCCTATTTTCCTAGTCGAATGCCCCGCACGCAACATGCTTCTGATCCTCGCGCGCTTCTTCTCATTTAACGGCTTCATAGCGATGCGGTCGTAGGCTCGCTTCCGGACTAACAACTAAGCTAGGAACTGGTGCGCGTGACGATGTACACACTGAGCGACGGGGGAAAATAGATCTACTCTTCCGCTCGGTAGGAAATGTCCACATCGACAGTCGAGTAGTAAATTTCAACCCCACTTTCCGTTAGTGTCACAATCGCGCCAAGCAAGAAACGGATGAAGCAGAACTCAAAAACCGAGTAACAGAATGGAAAAAAACGGGTGTTACTATTTTCGAAACATGTGTTGCATAACGATACGTTTCAAAGTGTTAAACATCCGGGCAATTTAATCCGCCACTGTATCTCTTGGAGATCCACTCGCTCGTCGTCTGTTGCTCAGTCCAGCTGTGGGGCTGAGATCTACGCTGGTGCCATGGCGGCACAGGAGCTCCGCTGGCTTACCTTCTTGCTCACAGACTTAGGTGAGCGGCCTAGCTCTGCCCCGGTCCTGTACGCTGACAACAGGGCCATGATTCTCCTGTGTCAGGAGCCTCGGCTTGAGGGCAGAGCAAAGCATATCCAGCTGCGGTCCTTCCTCCTGCGCGAGCTTCAGCAGCGTCGTCAGGCCCGCTTAGTTCATTTGGCCTCAGGTGCCAACACAGCTGATATCTTTACTAAGGCGCTTGCGCCTAAAGATCATCAGCGGCACTGTGTCCAGCTTGGTCTTGTTCATGTAGCTTCTCACTTGTTAGGACCCTGACTTTTGTACTCCTTGTCAAACATCTGTATTTGTTATGTTTGTATAGACTGTATAGGGTTACCCCTTAGAGGGTACAACACTTAGGTATACTTGTGTGTACTCTCATCTTTACCATTATTCAATTATTCTGATATGGTATCACGCGTAGGTAGGATCCCCCCCCCCCCACCTACCGCTTCCGCTCATGCCCCCTAGCGCCCCTCCTGGGCCCCGTCGCGCTCCTCCCAGGCCCCGTCGCGCTCCTCCCAGGCCCCCTAGCGCCCCTCCTGGGCCCCGTCGCACTCCTCCCAGGCCCCGTAGCGCCCCTCCTGGGCCTCATCGCGCCCCTCCTGGGCTTCGTAGCGCCCCTCCCAGGCCCCGTCGCGCCCCTCCCAAGCCCCGTCGCGCTCCTCCCAGGCCCACTAGCGCCCCTCCTGGGCCCCGTCGCGCTCCTCCCAGGTCCCGTAGCGCCCCGTCGCGCCCCTCCTGGGCCGCGTAGCGCCCCTCCTGGGCCTCGTCGCGCCCCTCCTGGGCTTCGTAGCGCCCCTCCTGGGCCCTGTAACGCCCCTCCCAGGCCCCGTCGCGATCCTCCCAGGCCCCGTCGCGCTCCTGCCCTTGGCAGTGACGTCCTGGAGGACCGCCAGTTCGAGCTTGCTTTCCTCTCCGAGGTTGCTCCCCATCTCTGTTCCATGCTGCTAGTCCCTGAGGGTGACCCAGACGCTTTCGACATCCCGACCCCTCGCACTTATGCTGAGGCGACTTCGGGACCCTGGGCCTCGCAGTGGATAGCTGCCATGGAGCAGGAGATGGCATCTTGGAGATCCACCGGCACCTTCGTCGACGCAGTTCCCCCGCCTGGGGTGAACGTAGTCGATGGCCGGTGGCTCTTCAAGGTGAAGCGCCCTCCTGGAGAGCCGCCTGTCTTCAAGGCGCGCTATGTGGCTAGAGGCTTCAGTCAGCGCGAGGGGGTGGACTTCTTCCAGACTTTCGCTCTGACTCTGAAGATGACTACTCTTCGGGTTCTGTTACACCTAGCTGCTCAGCGTGACTACGAGCTTCACTCCCTCGACTTCTCCACTGCCTTCCTTCAGGGCAGCCTACACGAGCAGGTCTACCTGCGTCGCCCTCCGGGCTTTACTGGCACCTTCCCTCCTGGGACCCAGTGGCTCCTGCGGCGCCCCGTCTACGGCCTGCGCCAGGCTCCCCGTGAGTGGCACGACACTCTCCGTGCTACCCTTGCTGACCTGCAGTTCTTTCCGTCTTCCGCAGACCCTTCACTCTTCGTTCGTGCTGGCCAGACTCCGTTCTACATCCTTGTTTACGTCGACGACCTAGTCTTTGCCACGGCAGACAGGGACGCACTGGCCTCCGTGAAGGCAGAGCTGCTGAAGAGACACACCTGCACTGACCTTGGAGAACTGCGCCGTTACCTTGGCTTGCAGATCTCCAGGGACAGAGCTGCGCGCACCATCACCCTGACTCAGTCACACTTGGTGCGCCAGGTCCTTCAGAGGTTCAGCCTTCAGTTCTCCTCTGCACAGCCCACCCCTCTGCCTGTAGACCACAGACTCTCCGCTCCAGTACCTGAGGAGTTGGTGGAGCCCAGCGGCCCCTACGCAGAGCTGGTGGGTTGCCTCATGTACCTGATGACTTGCACTCGCCCAGATCTCGCATACCCTCTCAGCATCCTGGCGCGCTTTGTGGCCACAGGCAGACACCGACCGCAGCACTGGTCTGCCGCTAAGAGGGTTCTGCGTTATCTTGCTAGTACATCGGGCATGGGGTTAGTGCTTGGAGGACGCAGGCCAGTGGTCCTTAGTGGACACTCAGACGCTTCGTGGGCAGACGACGCTGAGACACTCAGGTCTACCCAGGGCTACTGCTTCAGCCTTGGCTCAGGTGCTGTCTCGTGGAGAGCTACTCGCTCCTCGTCTGTTGTGCAGTCCAGCTGTGAGGCTGAGATCTACGCTGGTGCCATGGCGGCACAGGAGCTCCGCTGGCTGACCTTCTTGCTCACTGACTTAGGTGAGCGGCCGAGCTCTGCCCCGGTCCTGTTCGCTGACAAGAGGGCCATGATCCTCCTGTGTCAGGAGCCTCGACTCGAGGGCAGAGCGAAGCACATTCAGTTGCGGTACTTCCTCCTGCGTGAGCTACAGCAGCGACGTCAGGCTCGCGTAGTACACTTGGCCTCAGGTGCCAACACAGCTGATATCTTTACGAAGGCGCTTGCGCCTAAAGATCATCAGCGGCACTGTGTACAGCTTGGTCTAGTTCCTGTTGCTTCTCACTTGCTAGGACCTTGACTTGTACTGTCCTTTATATGTATACTCAGACTGGACTTGTGTCCTCTCCCAGTGGCTGGACTAGTAGTGCCGCCCTGCTCTTGTTCTTGCCTTGTCTGTACTCCTTCTGACTGGTCTCTCAGACCCTTGTCTCAGAGGTTGGACTAGTAGTGCCGCCCTGAGCTGCTTGTTTAGGGTATTCCCCTATGCAGTCTAGGGGGTGTGTCAAACATCTGTATTTGTTATGTTTGTATAGACTGTATAGGGTTACCGCTTAGAGGGTACAACACTTAGGTATATTTGTGTGTACTCTCATCTTTACCATTATTCAATTATTCTGATACTCCTCACTATATATATTCCTGTCTAACTAGCCTTGTGGCTTTACTCCCAGTGGCTGGACTAGTATTGCCGCCCTAGTTTGTTTTTGTCTTGTCTGTACTCTTGCTGACTGGTCTTTGGACCCCTGCCTCAGTGGTTGGACTAGTAGTGCCTCCCTGAGCTGTGTGCTTCTTGCTTGCACCACCCCTTCTCTAGCCTAGGGGGTGTGTCAACTTATACATGTCATGCATGTAGAAGTTATAGGCTAGTATCAGTGTGTGCTCCTAGGGAGTACAACCCAATAGCTATATGTTCCTTGTTTCACCTTCTAGTCCATTATGCTCGTATGCTAACAGTGTCAACTTATACATATGTGTTGTATGTATAGTTTTTGGCTAGATGGGTAAGTGCTCTTAGCGAGTACAACACCAAACCATATATCGAACATGTATGCCTTGCTAGTATTCGTTAGTTACGTCAACGCTATAGTAATGAATTTTGCTGATACTGATTCTACTTCAAGCACGCCTGTTTTCTACTTCAAACACATCTGTTTTGAATTGTCGATGCTTTTTCAACATCCATGTGGTGGCGATGTGATGCACAATGTGATTCTTCAGAGGGTGACTATTGGAAGGAGCAGAAATTACAAGCTGCGCGAAAGTTTTCGCACGATGAGCCCTTGCTGATGCACGGCACTTAATTAACTTATTGGCATAAAACACAATTGGAGGGCACTCTGATTAGCCGTGATGCTTCGTTGTTGTCTACTCTTCGTAAAATTGACATGCTGTATTCTCATCATATATTTTCTTTGTACGGTGAAGTATGCAGGGAGATTCACCTGCTACAGCTACCATACCATCACCGACCAAAACTCGCATATTTGTGTACAAACGGAATCTTGCTGTCAAACCACGCTGGCACACCCTGAACACAAAAGCAGCATTCGGTGGGACCCTCCGCGCTGTCAGCAGCTGTTCCATGGAGGCCGTATGAGAAATTCTGAAGCCTCCACGATGTAGTCGCACCGAATTACTGAAGTCGTTTAGCCTCGGAAGTCCCATCGTGCAACAACCAGTGGAGGGCTGAGCTGGAGGTTGGGGTGGGGAGTGGGGAGGAAACTGTCGCGAGAGTTTACATTCACCTCCCTCAACGAGGCGGCTCCAGCTACCCGAAGCGCATTTCCCGAAATGTCGATCCTGTGCCCAGCATTCAACGCTTATAAATTGCGTTTTCCAGAAGCACAGTCTCACACCCATACTTGCAAAGCCTCAGCTGGCTGAGAAAACTCGAGCCCTGAACCCACCCACATCTCTCACCATGGCTCGCTCGTCTGCCAACCTGATTGTGACCATTCTGATCGTTTCGTTCGCCTCACAGGCGCTTGCTGGTTTTATGGGCGGCGCTTCAACCTTTGCTCCCGTAAGTCTCCTCGTTCAGTTATCTTTCGCGTTGTTCACATGAACTTCCTGTTACTGCTTCGATTCATCACGAGCTTAGTAGCTCTCGCTGAACGCGGTATGGTAGTCACATGGATCAACCACCGTTTTTCCCGGCCCCTTCCCATTACAGGCGGGCGCAGCCATCGTCGCCAAGTGGAACAAGGCCAAGCCGGGCTTTTCTCAAGACGTCGTCGCGTACGACTCCGTGGGATCCGGCACGGGAATCACGGGCTTCAACAGCGGCACCTACCTCATTGCCGTCTCCGATGACCCCATGACCGCCGCGCAAGAGGGCGCCGGCTTCTCTGCCAGCCCCGGCAAGATCACCGTGCCGCTGTGCGTCTCCACCTTCGGCTTCTTCTATAACGGGAAGCCCGGCCTTGTGCTGACGGCGACTCAGTCCTACCAGATCTACAGCGGCACAATCGCCACGTGGGCGGGCGTTACTGGCGCTTCAGCCAAGGGCCTTACGGGGGCCATCACCCGCGTCGCTCGCAGCGACAAGTCCGGATCGACCGCTATCGTGAAGACCATGTGGTCCAAGGCCGGGACGGGGTTCTCCGGCGCGACGGACGGCGTTGCTCTGACTTTCGACGGCCTCTCCAAGGTGGAGGGCACGAGTGCCGTGTGCGCCGCAGTTCTCGCCACCAAGGGCGCTATCGGGTACGCTTTCACCGGAGGCTGCAGCACGGTTCGCAAACTACAGGCCGGGAAATCAGCCTGTGTACAGGCTGTGTTCTGGACGTCAGGCTGAAAACGGACTGCAAACCGGGGTCGATTTCCGTCTGAAATCATGGCACTGCCATGCCTGTTCTTCTCATGCGTAACAGGCGTAACTGCGCCTGTTTTCAGGGCCGTATTTCCAGCGGAGTTCAAGCGTATTACATCCCGATTTCGCACTGTTGTCACCCGCACTTTGCGCATCCAACCACGTGGAATGGTGGTCATTAATTGAAATAATGTACAACCATTTCCTGTACTTTGTTATATAACGTCTTACTATTATTTTATTTCTCCTAAGCTGAAATCGTAGTAGTCATTATTTAAGCACAATTACAGCATGATATCATCTAAAAATCCCTAATAGAAACGTAACTGTCTCAGCATCTTTACGCTCTGCTGCACCAATAACCCAGCAGCTGCTCTGACCACACCAGCACCCTACTCTCCAGTGCTTCCCTGTCTTCTGCTCATCCGGGCTCTTCACTCGCTCACTTTTCCCCCTCCCTCTGCAGCCACTCCCTCTGCTGCTGCACTCCCTCAGCTGGTACTCCCTCTGCCTCTGCACCCACCCCTGCTGGTAGTACCTCTGGTACTCCCTCTGCTGCTTCTCTACCTCTGCTGCTGATACTCCCTCTGCTGCTTCTCTACCTCTGCTGCTGATACTCCATCTGCTGCTGGTACTCCCTCTGCTGCTGCTCTACCTCTGCTGCTGGTACTCCCTCTGCTGCTGGTACTCTCTCTACTGCTGCTCTACCTCTGCTGCTGGTACTCCCTCTGCTGCTGCTCTACCTCTGCTGCTGGTACTCCCTCTGCTTCTGCTCTACCTCTGCTGTTGGTACTCCCCCTGATGCTGCACTCTCGCTGCTGAAGCTCCTTGGCTGCTGCCTCAAATTTGCTGCTCTCTGCAACTCTACCCCATGGACTGCGGCCACCTCTGCCACTGCGCCCTTTGCCACTGCGCCCTGTGCCACTGCTCCCTGTGCCACTGCGCCCTCTGCCACTGCGCCCCCTGCCACTGCGCCCTCTGCCACTGCGCCCTCTGCCACTGCGCCCCCTGCCACTGCGCCCCCTGCCACTGCGCCCCCTGCCACTGCGCCCTCTGCCACTGCGCCTTCTGCCACTGCGCCCTCTGCTGCTGCGCCCTCTGCTGCTGCGCCCTCTGCCACTGCGCCCTCTGCTGCTGCGCCCTTTGCTGCTGCGCCGCCTGCTGCTGCCGCTCCATCTGCTGCTGCCGTTTCGTCTGCTGTTGCCGCCCCTCTGCTGCTGCTCCCTGCGCTGCTGCTCCTCTTTACTGCACCCCTCTGCTGCTCCCCTCGGCTGGCTCTCTATCCTTTTCCCCCCCAGTGCCCCAAGCTGCTGCTCTTCTCAGCTACATGTGCCGCCTCCTCAGCTCCTACCACTTCCTCGTACGCCTCTGCCCCTCCAGCTTCTGGTCCCCCCTCCCGCCCCTCACTGATGCTCCACGCGCAGCTTCTCGTTTCCCCACTGCCACTCCTCTCTCTGCACCATTGACTTACTCTCCACCGGCTTGAGTCCTGGGGAGCCTGGGGTAGTCGGAAGCGTCAATCAGCACCCCGGAGCCGAACTGGTAGGCGTTGGTGGTGGGGTCGTAGCGCACCCCCAGGTTGTTCACTGAGTGCTCCACCCAACGCCGCACCCTGGCGCAGGTCGCCTCGTACTTCTTGCGGTTCTGGCTCTGGTCGGTGCCGAGCTTGCCGTCGTTGGCCTGCTCAAGGAGGGGGTTCTCGAGCTACACAGAAAGGGTGGGTTTTGGGCGGGGTGAGTGAGAATACGGAAAGGGTGACGAGACGAGCACTTGGGACAAGAGCATCTTGTTGAACAGCACACGAGGGGGAGCACTTGGGATATTAGACAAGGGATTGGTAGAAAAGCGAGGTAAGAGCACATGGAACCCTGAGATGATGGGAATGGAAGATGAGGAACATTGTGGACATGGGATGTGAGGATACAGAAAAGAGAGCACGAACGGTACAAGGGATAAGGATGGGTGCCTCTAATAGCTAGCGGCCGCACTACAATAAGCAACCTGAGGATCACAAAGACCAGCTCACCGAGAACAAGGCGAACGCCACCATGCGGGACTTCCAGGAAACCATGTCCACCCCCCTCCGTGTGAAGGCCTTGGCCATGGCAATGGCAAACAAGTGGGTGGAGAAGGGCCACTCCGTGGGCTTGTCCATGTGCCAATCCATGCCCCAATCATCTGTGTCTCCAAAACAGCCATTTGGATAAAGGAGATGTGATTAGTGAACTAGCCCTGCAAATACTACCATGTGGATGCTTGCTTGGCAACTCACCGTTCATGTTGTCGCGGACAAGCTCTGCATCGTTCACGTAGACGGTGGGACGATCCAGCTCCCTGGGCAGACGGCTAACCTTGTCCTTCTTCTTCTCACTGCCCAATGCGGTTAGAACGATGCGACGAAAGATCTTGCCTATGGAGCAACGAGTGTTGCTACAGGCAGTGAGAAAGGCTCCTTTGGTGGTAGGGCACTGATGGTTCCAGAGCAATTGCACATGGGGCATGCTGTCAGGGGACAGGTAGGTGCTGAAACCTTCAATGACTTCGACGGTCGCAGGGTACATCTGGATCTTTGAGGCTTCTTTCAGCCAGTAGAACTCGGTAACTAGAGTGCGACACTTCACCTGTGGAACATTAAGGAGGACAACAGGGAAAGAGGGGGCGGGATGATGGGTAAGATGGAACAAGGTTTAGGCAAGAGGTAACACGGCACGAAGTAACAGGGTAAGAGGTACTAGAGTATGAGGTCACAGGGCAAGAGGTCACCGGGCAAGAGGTCACAGGGCAAGAGGTCACCGGGCAAGAGGTCACAGGGCAAGAGGTCACAGGGCAAGAGGTCACAGGGCAAGAGGTCATAGGGCAAGAGGTCACAGGGCAAGAGGTCACCGGGCAAGAGGTCACAGGGCAAGAGGTCACCGGGCAAGTGGTCACAGGGCAAGAGGTCACAGGGCAAGAGGTCACAGGGCAAGAGGTCACAGGGCAAGAGGTCACAGGGCAAGAGGTCACAGGGCACGAGGTCACAGGGCAAGATGTATCATGGTCAGAGGTAACAAGGAAGGAGGTAACAGAGCAAGAAGTAACTGGGTTTAGGGTAACATGGTAAGAGGTAACACGGAATGAGGTAACAGGGCAAGAGGTAACATGGTGTGTGGTAACAGGGCAAGAGGTAGCAGGGCAAAGGGTAACAGAGCAAAAAATAACAACATAAGAGGTAACATGTGAAAATGTATCAGGGTAAGAGGTAACAGGCAATGAGGGGATGGGCTGGTGGGAGTGATGGAGGATTGTACGAAGATGAAATACTGATGGTAAGAAGTAACTCGCGAGTAGCGTGCACAGGATAAGTTGGGCACAGGGAGATTGTCAGACATGGGAGAGTGTGAAGCGAGGTGCGGCACTAGGGTTTAGACCGGGATTGAGCAAGAGAGAGAGGTGGTGTGTGCGGAGTGAAGTGCTATGACGGTGCAGCGGACACATACCTTCCAGTCTCCTGCATCGATAAGGACAGATTCCAGGGCAATCTGCTCCGCCCCCCTAACCAGGGAGCGCCTTGGAGCCGCGCCTGCCTGCAGGCCCCCTGCGGGCTCATGGACCGTGACTGGACCGGCAGGAACAGTGCCCCACGCAGCCCCGTGCTGCTCAATGACTAGAAGCATCTCCGCTCTCATCGCTGCGAGCTCGGCTCTCGTAGCGTATTGCTGCTGACCCGCGAGTGCCGCCACTGCTGTCATGCTCCTCGGTGCTTGTGCCGCGCCCTGTACGACGGGCCGTGCAGCCGGCGTAGCAGTGGGCCTCATGCTTGGACCTTGCTGAGAAGCCCCACTCCTTGCCGCTGCCGCCGTCCGGGCCGCCGCCAACACCGAACGCGCATGACCATCAGCCGCCGACGCTGCCGCCATACGTGCCGCTCCTGCTGATGGGGCGCGTGCTGTCCCCGCCGCCGCCGCCGCCACCGCTGTGCGTGCCGCTCCCCCTGGTCGTGCTGCCAGTACCGCCGCTGCCGCTGACGCAGCGCGTGCCGCACCCGCAGCCATAGAGCCGGCCCCCGGAGGAGGGGTGCGTTGACCTCCTGCTCCAGAAGTAGTCATGCGCCACACCGCAGAGCCGGGGTTCGCAGGGCTGCCCACAGTGGCAGCCCGCCTCATGACACCCCCCCTCATGCCACCCCCGGGCGCGAGATGGATGTGCTCAATTGTGTCCGGCGGGCCCACTCCGGAGTTCAACACAACTGCAGGCGGGGTGAGTTGGGGGGGGGGGGGGGGGGGGGGGGGTGGGGCGGGGCGGGGAGGGTGTAGAGGGGGTATCCTTTTGAGAGTGTAGGGTATGGAGCAAGGGGGGTTAGTGTTAGACGAGATGGATGGGGGGCGTCGGGGGGAAGGGGAAGGAGGCGAGGTCATTTTAGTGATGCAATGCTGTGGAGCGACAACCCTCTAAACTAGTACAGACCTCTTTTGGGCTTCTGCGTTTTTGCAGAAGCCTTGGCATCCGCCACAGCTGCTAGGGTGCAGAGGGGCAACATGGCATAAGGGGGAGCACAAGCCTTAGGTTTTGGGCAAAGGTACTCGACAAAACAGTAAACAAAGCCGAGGGAGTAGAAAACGTAAAACACTCACCCGCCTTGTTGCCCTTGTCTGCTCCCTTGGCCGGTTTCGCTGCTTCGGCGAAAGGCCTCCGGCCCACCGCCTTGGGCCGTGCATTCCGTGCACTACCAACTCCAGCCGCCCTCCCGTCACCCGTCCCCGCCGCCCGAGAGGTTCCTGCACGCCAATTACCCCCCCCTCCACGGGTGCCGGACTTTGGTTGGCCGGCCTTGGCAGCCTCGTTGGCCGGCGGGTCCCCGTGCAGCGAGCCGAGCTGGAGAAAACGTCCCTTCCTCAGCATGCGCTCGGCCTCCTCCTCCTCGTCCCATGTAGACTGCTTACTCAGCGCCTGCGCTCGCGCGCTCCGCATGTTTCGCAGGTAGTGGGCACTAGCATCCGAGTCGTCGTTGGCCGCCACCACCTGCATGCCCTCCACCCCGACTGCCTCCTCCCCTCCCTCCTCTTCTTCCGCCTCATCCCCCTCCTCCTCCTCCTCTTCTTCCTCCTCCTCCTCCTCCTCCTCCTCCTCCTCCTCTTCCTCATCTTCCTCCTCTTCCTCCCTTTCCTCCTCCTCCTCCCCATCCCCCTCTTCCTCCTCCTCCTCTTCTTCCTCCTCCTCCTCCTCCTCGGCATCCTCGTCCGCACCATCTTCCTCT